GATAACGGCGCGCTCTCGAGAGTCTGTATCGCGCCAAGTCAGGGAAATCACGACTCCTCTCGCCGCGATCGCCCTTTAATTATTCCAGTTTTCGAGAGGAATGTCGACTCTCGCCGAACGAGGGAGAGAGAGAGAGAGAGAGAGGGGAGCCCGTTTAATCGGCAGGTTTATTAAGTCGGGGAGCGAAGTGGATTTCGATATAATTGGAGCCACCCTCGTCCGGCCGAGTCGCCACCCTCTTAATGCGCGGCCGCGTGTTACGCGGACAGTTTAATTAATGCTCGGGGACGGACTTCTTTCTTCGTTTCTTTCTTCCTTGTCGTTTTCTCGCGAGTAACTTGCGCACCGCGGAGCAGCTGTAAGCCGAGGGAGAGAGAGGGGGGGAGAGAGAGAGAGAGAGAGAGAGAGAGAGAGAGAGAGAGAGAGTGGGAGAGAGAGAAAAAGAGAGCGTCGCATTAAGAGCCTTAACGCGCCGCGTTAATCCATACGCGCGATATTCTCGGTGTTCTCGTTTCCGCCAAGGTCCATTGAAACTTAAGCTGAGCTCGAGTCCGTGAGTGAATGGAGTTGAAACTTGGTTGGACTGAGCGGTTCGGTACAACGCGTTTGCGCGTCTCCGCGGTAACGAATATTCCGTCGCGGTGGATCCGCTCCTCGCGCGACGGTTCGGGGGTGGAGGGTGAGGGGCAGTCCTTTTCCTTTTCCTTTGCCGCCAGCACTGCCGCGATATTTCCTCGCGTATAATTCAGCCGACGGAGACCGTCGTCGTCCGGCGACCGCCGCGCCGGCGCGCCTTCTCCTCTTTCTCCCGGTTTATAAATATTTACGCTGGATTTCTGAAAACGTCGCCGGGCCAGTCGCGGCGAGAGACCACCGCAAACGAAGCGGCCAGCCTCGTCGTCCGGTGTTGAGTTACATCGTCGGTGCTCCGAGCGGGGTCGAAACGCTTGAAATCCTTCATCGCGCGAAGGGGTGCCGGTCGGCAGGATGTCGGAGGATCCTTGACGGTCCCTCGTTGATTGTAGACCGCGAGCACTGATTTTCCCCGGCAAACGCAAATTGTATCGTTCACCTGTTTGCGGCATTTTTGCACCCGTTAGCGAGTTACTAAGAGCGGAATTTCTTCTCGCATTATTTATTTATCTATTTATTTATTAATAATATATCTGGTCTGGTACTCCTTTGGTGTACAGTAGTTGAGACAATAGTATAACGAGTAAGAAGATTCTCGTGCAATAAATAGGAAAATAAAGTAAAAAAGAATTATAAATCATATTGGTGTACTTTTTTATTTGTCTTTTATTTGATTTATATTTTATTTATACATGCTTTGTGCGTACATGTATATTTTTTTATTCGTATATGTCGCGCTTTTTATTATCGCTTTTCCCGGCGACTGCGTGACATTTCTCTCTCCATTTTCGAACGACTCTGTGAAAATCCAGCGGACGATCGGATTGCGCGCGGATGCAAATACGGTAACGCGCAACGAAATCCGCCTCCACGATCGTTCCTTCCTCTCCGCACTCCTCGAGTCCGTTCGTCGTCGTGCCGAGCGACCCCCGCTCGGAGACCGTGAGCAGTCTGCTTTGCTACCTGCAGGCTAAACAAAGGCCCATTGTTACGCCGGAATTTGGCAACGTCGGCAGTAAGCCGATATCGCCGGCAGCCCGCATATATCTGCTGGCACGCCCGAGTCGTATTAGATGGCCCCGCGTCTCCGACATTTCTCCGGTATTCACGAGCGAGCGACGATAAGCAAATTTCGCGAGCGTTGCTACTACGACGGATGTTCATCGCACGTCTGTCGTTCCGAAGAGATGTCATTTCGCACATTCTCTCCCCGCGTCGTCAAGGAGGAAAGCAAAGTCCAGATTGCCGCGAAGAACCCGCAACTTCCCCTCTCAGATATCCCCACTTTCTCCCCCGATCCGAATTATCTCCCGCGCGTTATCGGCGGTCGCGATAGGCGCGACCTTACACGAGACACGTTGAGGAAGCAAACTGACATTTGAATCGTTATCGGCTGACCGAGAGGAAACGCGTTGGTAGCGTCGCATTTGACGCGCGACGACAGCGTGTCGGGTATAATGAGATTTTGCCGGAAGTCGCTTCTCGAGGGAGAAAGGGGGGCGGGGGCAGCTCCTCCGGTCGGTGTTGTTCGTACAGAAGCGCGCACTTTTCTCCAGGGGGAGGCGGCCCCCCGCGCGCGCGCGCGCGTCGCGGAGCCCCCACGGACGGATCTAATTAAACGCTAAATTGTTATTTTAAGTTTAATAACAACCATAATGATCTCGCGCTCGAGCCGGGACTCTGTTATTATCTAGATTGCATATTTTCTGGTAGATTAAGTTCCTTAAGCGAGCCGCGCTCCCGGCGAGAGAGGAAGAGGTGAGCGGGAGGGTGGGGGCGGGCGGGGGAGGGGAAGCAAGAAGTCCTCGGACGAGGCAGCCCCGCCGCCGGCCGGCCCGGCTCAATCGTGTCTGCTGCAACGCGATGCAACGCGCGACTCGCAAACTGCGCCTCGCGGCGCATGCAACGGATATTACGCGCGCCGCTGTCGTGTTCGGCTGGCCGTCGCGATTGCGAAACGTCGAAGCGCGCGGTAGCGGCCGGTGATTCGGGAATTGAGATAATTGAGGAATCGCGTGTTCGATCGGCCGTTTCGGGGAGATCGGCGTAAAATATGACTCGTTCTGCGAATCGCGATGCGATGTTCGAAATTTGCCTTCGCTGGCCTTTGCCTGGCCGACATCGCTAAGTCGTCGAAAGTGATGAGATAAGGTTAATCATTTCCTTGTTGGCCGCAAATCTCCCTCTTCCTCGGCCGAAAGAGATGATACCCCCTGGTCTCGCGCTCGGCAGGAAAATTCGAGACACGTCGGCGACGGCGAATCCTGCAGGTTTCATCGTTCAGGTCGCGAACTCGCGTCAGCGTCGCTTTTAGAGCCACCTGCGTACGCGATGGCGCACGAAAGGCGACTTTGCGAATGACTAGGCTCTGGCTACGCGGCATTCTCGGAGATGGCGATTCGTCATCTCTCCTGCCCTGTCGCCCGATATCGCGAACACGGCGCGGGAATGCGTTTCTTGCGCGTTCCGCGGCGCATTCGTGACACACGCGACGCGCGTCGCGCCCTTCACCCATCGGGCGCCCTTTCATCCCCCGTCGCGCGTCACGCGCAGCGACTGCGGCGGCTGCAATTACCGCGGCCGGCTTGGAAAAACCGTCGGCGAATTACACGAGCGCGGTATGCGAGAGCGGGAGAGACGCAAAAGCCGGGCGCTTCTTTATAAGCTCTCGCGGCCGCTCGCAACCGCTCGCAACCGCTCGCGAGAAACGGCCGCGTGTGTCGCAGCTAATTGCGCACGTATCTGACACGGACGATGAAGAGAAGAACGCCTGAACGCCTCGCGTGTACTGAATCACTGAATGAGCAACAATTTTGCATGATGCGATATCTCGTACGCTGCTCGAGACAATTCGGAAATTGCTGACATACATCTGTCTCTTCGTAAAATTAATTCATGTAAATCGCGCGTAGGCAACACGGCAGCTATAACTTCGACGCACTCGACGATTCCATCGCCTCGTCGAGATGGAACTGAAGAAGAGAGCGGGAAGTGGAGGGGGGGGGGAGAAAGGAGAGCGTTTAATGAAGCGCGCTCCTTCGCCGCTCATTTCGCGAGAGACACACCGGGGTAGGCAACCACCCGTAGCAATTATCTCGCTGCAATTACAGGAAACGTATTGCGGGTGGGGTGAGGAGAAGGAGGAGGAGGGGGGAGGATTACTAACTCTCCGAGAAAAGAGGACTTCTTCCGCGGGCGAAATTGCAATCTGCTTTAAACGAAGCGTCGTCGTCGAGTCGCTGCTCCGAGAATGTTCTACCAGCATGCTCCTTATGGTCGAGTTAACCGGGTATAGGAAGTGCCCGTTCCCTCTGCTCCTCACTCCCCTCGCCCTAACGGCGGCGTCTAAAAAGTGTCGGCGGTGTGTTCGCCAATTAAGGCGTACTATCCCTCGTTCCTCTGTCGCCGGCGCGGCGGTCCAAGCGCGACGGAGATAGACGCGCTATGCGCAAAGTCACGGGACGAGATTCAGTCCGAGCGCGCCGTATTCAGCTATTAATTATTGATGCGAGTCGCGTTCGCGCCGCTGCCGCCACGGTTTAAGACTCACCGACTCGGCTCCCGCCGAGGGCGGTCTCTCTCTCTCTCTCTCTCTCTCTCTCTCTCTCTCTCTCTCTCTCTTGGGGGTAAGAAAAAAGAGGGAGCGCATTCGCGCGTTCTCCGCCACGGTATTCCCTCTTCTCGCCCGTCGTCGTAATCGTCGTCGCCGAACCGGAAAAGGTTTCTCTGCGAAATGGCTGCACACGCGAGTGTACTATCGTTGACGACGACGACGACGGCATCCGGAACAGGATGAACTTTCACCTAGGCCTCTCGCTCGCAACATCGTCTCGCGGTGTTCGCTCGTCGGAATTTCGTAGCGGCAATTACCCGGCGAGGCGAATATCGAGCAACATGTCGGCGGCGTCGCCGTTGTGGTCGTGGTCGTTGTTGCTGCTGGTCGCCATAAAGAAGAGCGGCACGGATCGGAATGTGTCAAAGGATGCCGCTTTTATTGAGCGCGTTAAACCGTTCGATGTCGCGAAGGCTGCGCGACAGATTCTCGCGGCGCGTTCGAGCGGTGCTTTCTCATGTCTCCGACATTTGAGAAAGGATTTAAAGCGGATCGGACTTTTATTCGATTCGCGAAATGCATCCCCTAAAGCTTACTAGATATGTAGATTTAGGTAGGCTAGATTTTTGTCTCAAGTGAATCCTTTCATCGTTTAGTCCTGACTTGAGATCGGGGTGGATGCTCTCTCTCGCGTCTCTTCAGCTTCCCCGATTTCAAGCAAACAGCCGGCGCCGCTGCAGTTGAAAGTCAAGCCACATCGTGTGTGCCTCGATCCACACTCTAACTGACCACATGCTCCTTTTGTGTTTTACAGGCTCTCCTTGCGAGCACGACGGTATCTGCGTGAACACGCCCGGTTCCTTCGCCTGCAACTGCACGCAAGGATTCACGGGGCCGCGATGCGAGACGAACGTGAACGAGTGCGAGTCGCATCCGTGCCAGAACGACGGCTCCTGCTTGGACGATCCTGGGACGTTTCGCTGCGTCTGCATGCCAGGTGAGTAAAACCACCTTTCTCAAAGCGCTCCCCCCTTCGGTACTTCATCTCGCGCGCGAAGACGTTTACGTGTTCCTTTGACGCGTCTCTCGCACTTTCTTCTCTCGGACGAGAGCGAGTCGCGAACCGCACGCACATCCTCGCGCGTCCCGAATGGGACCGAACGGATGATTCCCCTGTTCTTTTCTCGTCGCGTGACCGCGGAATCGAAAACGCGCGGCACGGTCGCTTTCACGGTGACAATTTCGTGAATTGTTGTTGCTCCGTTTACGTCCGCGCGAGGAAACGAACGAGCGAGCGAGCAACTTCCATATTGGTCGCTACCCTGTGCACACATCCGACCACCCCGCTGCGCTTTTCGATCGCCGTAAAAAGTCCGTCGTGAAAGTCGCAATTATCATTCTGCTTCGGAAGTGCTCCTCTCCTCTCGCGCTCGCGGCGCGCGCGCTTCGCCTCGTTCTCGCGCACCTCCCGCTCGGGACGAGGCGTTTTTGTATTCTCGTGTGTGAGCGCGCAAGTGAGAAGGTTCCTTCCGTTGGAAAGTTCGAGACCCCTCGACGAGGAAACTAATCGAAAACGCGAGGAAGGCGTCTCGCATCGAGTAATAATGGCGCACTCGCATTCCCGAGGACGGAAACCATCCCTCCGATTTGAAGAACCGTTCGATAGTGGTGGGAAAAAAGAGATACATACACTAGGAAAAAAAATTTAGTATCTCTGTCACAAAACTGTTTAGTTGAGGTATTTTTTAATAGCAACCAAATATCTTGTTTTGTATAACAAAATATTTAGTTGTCTCAACTAAAGATATTTTTCTGCTTTGTTCTCTGGACCAAATGATTTTGTTCTTAGACTTCATATGTAAAAATTAAGCATTTTAGTTATTTTATCCATAAAAATTACATAATAACGAAATATTATTTTGCATAAACTAAAATAATGCGCAGTGGATACTATGTTGTTTTTCTGTGCACTAAAATTTAGATTTTATATATTGAGAAAAAATTATAGTATTTTTAACAAAATTCATATAGTTAAAACTTCTTGGTTGCTATAACAAAAGCATTACAGTCTGTAAAGTAAGAGCGTGCACGACATAAATGGCAGTTGGCTTCAAATATCGTCCTAGATTTTTTGTGAGCCGATAGATGAAATCTTTGTCGTGAATGCTTTGTCGCAAAAGATTCAGTTGGCGTCGAACTCTAACCTGAGAAACACGTTAACCGCCATGAGTGCCGCATACTCATCGCGCTACGAGGCTGTGTTCCTTTATTCCCACCCCAAAGGACCAAAAATGTCATATGCAGCGGCTGCTAAATACATGGGAAAGTCAAAATCGTTCGTCGCTACGTGGGTTCGGCAATATAAGAAGATCAAAAATGTCGATGACTTGCCGGAACGTGGCGCTCGATAGGCGAAGTGACGCCGAATATGGAAAAAAAAAATTGTGAATTTGTTTAAGCGGAACCCGACCTTAATGCTTAAAATGTATGAGAAGTGTTTGTTGCCGACTGCTGAACGATGCTTCATAAAAAAAAACGAGGACTGGATCTTACGGGAAGAGACAACGAGCCAAAACACCGGAGCAAGCTTTGCACCGAGTGGAAAGAGCAGTCTGGCATCGTCACACTTGATTGGCCATCGCAGTCGCCAGATGCAAATCCCATTGAAAATGTGTGGGCATATCTCAAGCACAAGCTTCGAGGAAAAAGAGTGTGCACTTTGAAGCAGTTGACACGACAAATTCGTCTCATTTGGAGGTCTTTACCGAACGAATAGGCAATCAACTTAGTGGAAAGTATGCCCCGGAGATGCCAGGCAATTATCAATGCCGGTGGTGACCGGACTCATTATTAATGGTATAGCATTTTTCTTCTCATGGAGTACAACAAATCCATGTACTTAAAGATCATCAGAAATAAATTTTTCTATACATTAACCCGCGCACGCTCTTACTTTACAGACTGTACGTTATACGAACAAACCGTAATGTAACAAGATATTTGTTTGCAGGAACTAAACAGTTTTGTCGGGCATATTTTAATCAAATTATTTTGTTGTTGCAACAAAATTTTGGTTCAGGCAACAATACATTTTTCCTAGCGTACCCGTTCAATCTCTGTCTCTCGCCGTGAAATTTTTCTCGCTGGAGAAACTGTTCTCTTCCGAAGAAAAGGATCGCTGCTCGAGCGAAAGCCGCAAGAAAGACCGGGAGAAACTCGCAGCCCCCCCCCCCGATTTGCTCTTTTTCTTGCGCAAAAATCCTACGCGTTCGGGAAATCCTTCGAGTGCAGCGAGGGGAAAACGCGCTCTCGGCGAAGACTCGAGTTCTCACAGATAGCCGCGAGGGAGAAAAAGAGTGCGGCGCGTTTCGGCGAGAAAATGAATTTACCGGCGAGGGGAGGCACGAGACGTCGCCAGTAAATTCCTCCGAGATGACGGTGCCGCGTGCGCATTATCTGATACGCGACGGGAGGGCAGCGACCGGCAAGCCGTTCGCTCTTTTCGACGCAGCGAGTCGGCGCGCGTAAGTCAGCCTTAATTGTTTGACGCCGGCGATACGTACGACGCGCGCGATCTATCTATCTCTCGATCCTTTGAGGCGAGCCCTTTAAGGGCTCTCTCCTCCTCCTCCTCCTCCTCCTCCTTCGCTTCCCAGCCATTTAGAGCCGCGAGATCCGCGCGATCGATAATCGACGTAATCGACGACGAATGCGCGCGCCCGTCGTCACGATATCGCGGAGTCGCGCAAACACTGGAGGATATTTCGCATACTTGCGGGGAAGCGGGAAGGGGGGAGGACCTTAAGGCCCCGTTTAGCCGACTCGCGAGCGCGAGTCTCCTCTGCTCGTGGAATCGATGGCGATGAACGTAGCACAGGTGGAGATCGCCTCGCATTATAAGCAGCCGGCGACGCGAGCGCGTTGTTTACGACCCCGCGGGATTCCCGCAGCCGGTCGTTAAAAATCCGAGTCATCAATATTCTTCTGCTTAACTCGGCCCGAGTGCGAGCGCGTTCGAAACAGTAAAACTGAAACTGCCTTCTTCGCAGCCGAGCCGCACCAGCAGCCGCGCTTTCTCGCTCGTCGGCAATGCTCGAAACTTGCTCTCGTTACCCACTCGCCGCCCCCCTGCGCGACCTTTGACCGCTCGCGCGCGCGGGGGGGGAGGGGTCAAGGTCAGTTTTTCGCCGCGGCCGGATCCCGCTTCCGGTATCACCCCGATCGAGACTCGGCAGCAACGGCAGCTGCTGGTGTAGCAGAAGGCGCGTAGATCGCGCGAGTCCCCGCGGCGCGACAAATGGAGCATTAAACGCGATAAACGCAAAGCCGCTGCGCGAAAATAGCGGCCATCTATTAGAACCGCTCGAATGCGAGATCGCGCCTCCCTTCCACCCCCTGACCGCCCCTCGCTCGCTCGATTTATGGCGCCGATTTACAATTCGCGCGACCTTTGGCAAGCGCGCGACTCTCGTGCCCTCTCCTCTCCTCTCCTCTCCTCTCTCTCTCTCTCTCTCTCTCTCTCTCTCTCTCTCTCTCTCTCTCTCTCTCTTGTCTCCTCCTTTCTTTTCTCCTCGCCGTCGTTGTGTGCACGCCCCTTAAAGAAACCGCACGGGCGATAAATCGACGGAGAGTCCCGCAGCCGTCGAAAGATATCGCCCAATTAAGGAAACACGTCTTATATCCGCGTCACGACGTTCTTTACCTTCGACGACGCCGTTCGCCGCCAGATAAACCGAGCCGAACTCGTATACTTTTGAAATCATATTTGTGAACACGTGATCGTTTATTAAGAGACGAGCCGCGGCCCTCCCTCTCTCCCTCCCTCCTTGTCTCTGACTCACCAACGAATCTCGATTTGATCGATCGGGTGGGGAGCTTACGGCGCGATCGGTGATTTTTGGAGCATCCTGCAGGCGCGGAAAGAGAATCGTCTCTCACCTGAACCTGTTGGCTCAAAGTTGACAATTTCCCGCGTTTGTATGCGAATTCGTTTTTGCTCCCGGCGTCTTCTTGTTCTTTGTTCCAGCCGATCGTTTGCTTCTCAAGCCGTCCGTTCTCGGAATCTCTAATATCTCGCATTGAGATTCACCGGGCTTTTTTCGCCGAATCTCCGGTCGATCTTGTAAACTTTACATCACTCCCACGCGAAGCTCCAAAGCGAAGGTGGGGGGGGAGGAAGGGGGTGCTTGCGCTGCGCCGGTTACGCGCTCGTCGAGCGTTAGAGCGGTCAGTCGAATCCGAGTCCCTTAACGTCGAGATAGAAGAGGCCACCGAGAAAAAGAGGAGGAAGGACAGAGAGGAGGATGGACTGGTGGATGGAATCGAGGGTCCGAAAAGCGAGATAACAAAAAATGAGGGACGCTCAGAGCCTCGAGTGGCGGGCCCTGGCGCGTCGGAGGGCAGGAAGAGGGAGAGGGGAGGGGGCGAGCGGTAAAATATGATAGCGGGATTCGCGAAATATGAGACCGAGACGACGGGATCCGTTGCCGCGGGCCCGCGTGGGCCCCTGTGGGCCCTCTCGTGCCGGGCACAAAGGCTTATCTTGTCCCTCGGCTTACTCCGCCATTTTGGTGCTCCACCTCCGCCTGCTCTCCTCGTCCTTCGTCCTGTGCACGTCCACCTCCTCTCTTTCTCTCTTTCCTCCTTTCTTTCTCTCCCTTCTCGTCTTTTTCGCCTCTTCTTTGCTCCGACCCTTCGTCGGCCCGCACGTCGTGCCTTCCCTTCCTTTCTTGTCTCGGGGCCTGCTGTCCCGTAAAAGGATCCGCTAAATAGTGCTAAGAGGTTCGAGGAAAGAGGATACTTGGGCATTCAGGATTTTGCACGACGGGCCCGCAGCGCGCATCGGCCGCGCGCGTATATCCGGCCTTTGTAATTGTCGTCTGCGGGGCCAGCTCTCTCTCTCTCTCTCTTTCTCTCTCTCTCTCTCTCTCTCTCTCTCTCTCTCTCTCTCTCTCTCTCTCTCTCTCTCGGTCTCTGTTTCGAGTTGCGCGGCGGGTA